GTTATATGGAGACCTATTTTTGGCATAGAAAGTGATCGAATTGGAGAATGATGTCTGAATTAAAGTTGTAGCCAGATGAGTTAGCTTTCCAACACATTTTGAATCCCATCAATCAGACATCAAAATAAAAAGTTATGATAAAAACACTGAAAGAAGGTGCAACTGCCTGTTTAAAACAAAAAATTCCGTTACATAGTCCATTATATTGAGACATATTTTTGGCATAGAAAGTGATAGAATTGAAGAATGATGTCTGAATCAAAGTTGTAGTTAGATGGGTTAGCTTTCCAAAGCAATTTGAATCGCCTCAATCGAATATCGGAATACAAAGTTATGATAAAAACACTGAAAGAAGGTGCAGCTGCCTGTTTAAAACAAGAAATTCCGTTACATAATCTGTTAAAATAACAAATTCCGATAGTTTTTCCGTTAAACCAACAAATTCCGTTAAATAAGCACGTTATATATATAGAAAGATACTTAATTTTAGTTGTAATCTTCTGCTAAAATGTCTTTTCAAGTAAAGGAATTAATATGAACTTGTAACTTCAACTATAGTCTAGTAGAAATTAATTAAGCCCATGTTTGGTAGACCAAATTTTGATAAAAAATTGAAGTCAAAGTAAATAATTAATTTAAGTCACACGTGCAATGGGATCCAAATTTTTTCAATAATACATTTCATTAAATTTTATAAATAAAAAAATTGATTTTAATATAAATCAAGTAGGATAAATTAAATTGACAATATCTAAAAAAATAGTATTACACTTTATAACCCCCATTGTCTAAAATTCTTTTTTCACCAAGCTAATTTTTAACTACGCATTTTTCTAATAAAATAATTTTGTACTTGGATTCTTAATTTTTATCTACTTTCACTTTTAAAAAAAATTATTCTCAATTTTTTTTTTTTTTACCAAACATGGGCTAAAAATGAATTTAAATTGATTATAATAGGGCAAGTAGGCCCAAGCCCTAAGCAAGAATTCCCATCACATGGACTGGGCTATAATATAATTCGAATTATTTATCTTGTGTCAGACTAGATAAGCCTGTCACTAGCTAAAGGCCCAAAAACTCCAATATTATTTTGCGAACAATACATATATCAAGTATTAACTATACAACATTTCAATTTTTTTTTTTTTTTAAAACAAGTTTTAAAAATTCAAAAGTCAAGTTGTAAATAATATATATAATAAATTACATTTATAGATACATATAAGTCAAGCATTCAGCTACGGCGTGTTTCTATAAAAAACAGAACTCTCCAGTTTAACAAATTATGATAATTGAACAAAAGAAAAAAGCTATAGAAAACTTTTTGGAGCAAATAATCTCGATTCCCACCATCGAAATCTAGCTTATAGAAAACAGCTGAATTATCGACAATGTAGAGTAAATTGTTTTACAGCAATGATAACAATCTGAGGTGATAATAGAAGTAGCAAATTGAGCTTAATGATCATCTAAAAGTAGGTTTGAAATGTTTCGAATCCATAATTGGTGACGGATAACATTGTATTATTACTAGATCTTCCTATTTTTGATTTGATGAAAAGAATTGTTGTGATGGAAATTGAAAAGATCCATTGGCATGTAGACTATAAGTTGTGGCAAAAATTGGAAAGAACCATTCATACCTATGATATTTTATCCAATGGCTTGTGTCCACTTCTCTGTGATATATGGCATGATGATATGGATCTATGACCTATGCACACTATGACATGTGAACTGTTATATATTACATGTGACTTATGAATTGTTACATGTGATATTGATTTATGGCTTCTTGTATCCCGTGACTTGTGAACTGTTACATGTAACTTGTAAATTGTTATATATAATATTGATCCAATAGCCTGTGATTAGTTCTCTTAGTTCTGTGACCTGTAGCATTGATATGTTACCTATGCAATATGACATGTGACTTATGAATTGTTACTTGTGAAGTGCAACATTTGAACTGTGACCTTTAAACTTGAATCTGTAACATATTATCAGTGCATAAAGATATGCAACCTCTGATCTGTGATCAATTAATTTTATCTGTGACCTATTGACATTGTGGATGTGAAGTGTAACCTGTGAACGGTAACTTGTGACTTGTGAACATAAATCAATTATCTATTTGATCTATGATATGTGGGCATTGAATTGCGACCCACACACAATGACATGCAACCTGTGAACAAATTATAAGTGGTCACAATCTCACTTTTTTAAGGTCACACATTATTTATTAATCGCAAATTATCTATTTTATTGATCACATATTATTTATTTTATTTATTTGTCACAAATTAACCTAATTATTTGTCACAATCACCACCCAAAATCGCACCCCACTCCAACACTAACAACCACCCCCACGCCACGCCATGCCATGCCATCGCCACGAGTACATGTACCACCATTAGAACAACCACCACGACCACCACCATCTAACCATCATCATCATCATCATCGCTATCGCTACACCACCATCACTTCACCATCACCAGCACCATTACCATCAATTACAAACCACCAACTAAACCATAAACCACAGTTGCACAAATCACACATAGCCCTCATCCACTGATTGATCATCCGTGCTTGTTGACACCAGTAGCTGCAGTTGTGCACCGGGCATAGCGTCATGACAATTGCATCGGTGACAAATAGAGAAAATGGAGAAGATAGAGAGAGAATAGAGAAAAGATAAACACAAACCATAAACTAGAGTTACACAGATCGCTCACTATCCCTATCCACATATCCCTCATCGGTGCTTATCAACGCTTATCGTTGTGCGGGCACAGTGTCGTCGCCCACGCATAGTTGCAAATGCACTAGTGACAAATAGAGAGAATGAAGAAGATCGACTAAATGGAAAAGAGAGGGAAACAATTTATGGATTGAGAGGAAAGTAATTTTATAATATTATTATTTAATATTAAAAAATTGAATTATCAACTGATTTTTGTACAAAAGATTTTGAGACCTTATTTTGGAAATTGAAAGTTAAAAAACATGGGTAGATGTAATTTTCACTATTATTTTTCTTCTCACATTGCTTCTTTACCTTCAAATGAGATCAATACGAGCATTCAACGAGAATTATTTGAAATTTAGACTTAATTACGAGGTCATCAGATTAACTACAGTTTGCCCGAGTTTGTAAAGTTATGATGTGTAGTCAATCGAATTGTCCAACTTTCTCGAGTTCTCACCCGTTCATTAATAAACTAATTCATTCACAACAATCATTGAGACTTATGCTACATTTCTCTCAAGTCGAATATCCTAACTATAATTTTATCAATGAAAAGATGATGAAATGTGGGATGGAAAATCAAACACTTTAAATCTTTTATATAATGAAATGAATTATTAAAGAATTTGACAGAGAAAAAGAAAAGATGGATTATTTGTGATTTATATTGAGATATAATTTTTGGACAATTTCTTTTTCGGC